GCATCTCCACGGCTGGAAGAAACCGATATCTCCTCCATTTTAACTCGCGACACTCGCTGCTGCAATGGACTGCCGGTATTCGACTAGCTATTTTCGAGCACTCCTCTCTGCAGGAGGCCTATACTGGCGCTCTGATTGCCGGCAAGGGCAAATCGCTCAACAACATTGGTGTCATCATGGAGAGGGCACGATTCCCCACCGAAGAATGGGTTAGAGTCCGATTCGGTGCTGGTGTACCTTGGAGACGATGCTGGTGTGTTATCACCCCTCCTGACGAAAAGCAGTATGCCAAGCTCCAGAAGGAGCTCAAGAAGAGGTCTCCTTACGATCGATCGCCTGTCCCCACACTTAAGGGAGACATCAAGTTCTACGACCAGCGAAAGGATGGCAAGAAGCAGAAGAAGATGCAGCCCATTGCTACCATCACCGACGCCTACTCCGCTTATGCCATCTATCCTCAGTCCAAGTCATTGATAGATGCTTCGACCTTACTCAAGGTTGAGGGTAACATTGCTATTCACACTGATCCTCCCTCATCTACTGAAGGCTTCGTCTTCATCATGCCTGAGACCCACCCAGCTGTCAGCGGATTCGAGATGTTGCTGCGTTTCCTTTTCCCTACCTGGGATACCTTTGGTCTTTACGGCCGACCTGGAAGACTTGTTGCCAGCACACTTGACTCTAGATCTCTCATGTTCGCCATGCCTAAGAGCCGGCGCTACGGTTATCTTGAGAATCTGGATGTTTCCAACCTGATTCTCGAGGATGGTAGCTCTGGATGGGGCGAGAGAGATTGGAGAAGAAAGCTCAAGGAATGCACCGGTACTCGTATGAATGCTGTAGATGATGCGCCCGCGACACGCTCCCGAAGCAACAGTCGAAAGAGCGTTCGACTAAGCTTTGGTGATGGACCTCCAAAACCCAAGACCGGATTTTCAGATGAACAAGTTCCTACCAGATCCTCGCGATCCTTCTCCCTTACTGAGCGCACTCGAACAGACTCAGCTCCCGCAGACCCTGCGCGGGTTGCTTTTGGAGGACATGGCCGTAACTCATCCGACCCCAACCATTTGGGTGGCCCTCCTTTCCGTCCTGGCACCAATGGTAATAGCCCTTACTCAGGCTCGCCACAACGCGGGCAGACTCCCGTCGGCGCTCCCCGTCATAACCAGGGTTCTCGTGATGAGAGTCCCGCTTACCAGAATGAGCGAGCTCCCTCTGGCTCTCCTCCCCTGAAAGACTTGGATGGCATGCGTCAGATGCATACCCCTGAACCAGTCTCACGACCCCCAGCCTTCAGCCACGGGTCTCAGGCTCGCCCCGTCAGCAGAGCTTATCATTCCCCCGAGCTTAGACGGGCTAACAGTAGGCTTTCCGTCACAACTCTGGCCCAGCTTGCCACAGCTGGAGGATTGGGTGGACCGAACGATTCGAATCCTTCTCCACGAGGAGATGAGGTGGACGCTGCAAGATCTGGACCATCGGTACTGCCACCACACGCCAACTCCGTAGGGATATCTGCTAACGACAACCGTTCGCGTGAAGCTTTAAGCCCACCGAATCAGGATCCCTCTTCCAACAGTCTTCCTCCTCCGGCCAACTTGTCCCAACAACGATCACGATCGCCACTGGCCCAGCCCCCGCTTGGGCCTCCTAACGCTTATGGCCGCGGGCCCAACTCACGTCCTGGAACCTCAGAAGGACGGCGATCTCCGATGCCTCCCGGCATGCCACCTCAACAACGACCTCCCCACCCTCAGAATGCCAACCGTCGGCCTGACATGGGTCCTGATGGCCGTCGACCGTCTGACCCTCGACGACCTGGCCCTGACGGACGCAGACCATCGGATCCCCGAGGTCCTGGCTTTGATGGACGCAGACCTTCCGACCCCCGCGGTCGTGGCAATGGCCCTCCTCCTAGCCATATGCCTCCGCCTCCCGGCCCCCATGGCAATTATCGTCCTGGACCGGGCCGTCCCGGACCTCCTGGCCCTCCGGGTTATCGCCCTAATGGACCTCCTCATGGACCACCAAATGGACCACCAGGACCGATGGGTCACCGAAAGCCTGTGCCAGGCGGACCTCCTCCACCTGCCCCTTTTGAAAATTCCAAGGGAAACACAATGTCTGGTAGCAGTGGGATTACTACGAATGAGATAATTGATCATTATGCCTTCGACCAAGGCCGTCAGACACCCCGGCAAGGAACCCCAAACTCAGATAGGCGACCAGGGCCCCCAGGCAGGCAAGAAAGTCACATGAGCAACCAAAGCAGTCATTATGAGGATAACTCTCCCACCAGTAGCCTCAAGAACTTTGTAGACACATACCAATACAGCGAACCAAAGCCTCGAGCTGGTGTCTTGAAGACTGTCGGTGGCGCCGAGGAGCCTGATCCCCGAGATCCTGGTTATGATATACCAAATATTAATTTCGGCCCAACCATCAATTACGCAGCCACCAAGGACCGCAGTAAAACTCCAGGCGCTCTCACTCCTGGAGGCTCATCACAGAGACCGCATACACCTGGAGGTCAGGGACCAACGCCCCCTCCTCACAAGTCTTCGGGTTCTCAGGGATCACTTGGACGCAAAGAATCCCCAGACCCAAAGCGCACTATGGCATGGCAGCCCGGCGCATCAACTCCTCCGAGCAATGCGCACGGGTTAAGCCCCGAAGAATTCGTGCAGCAAAGGGCGGCTCATGCTCGGAGTGCATCCAGCAACACTTTGGGCGGCTCACCCAGCCCAGGCATCAAACGAACTAGTTCCTCTGACATCCTACAAGCTATCCAGAACGGTCGCCACTCTCGTAACAGCTCTGTTGATTTACTTGCGCGACCTGGATCGCGGGGTGCCGGTTCGACCTTGAACTTTGCAAGCTCTGGGGAGACATCTAGCCACCTCAGTGCTCGGGAGCAGGAGCATGTGGCCCGCCTCACAGGCCAACCATTGATCAGCATGCCAGGACACCAGAGACAGGGGTCCCAGGGTAGCTTTGTACCCAGCCATCAGAGGCAAGCTTCCTCGGGCTCGGGTTTAGTTGGTGCTATCGAAGCCCGGGAACGAGAGAAGGAACAGATGAAGCAGGGAGTGAACAGCCAGGCAGTCCAGCATGCGATCAACCAGCGACAGCATCAACAGGCTGCCATGGCGTACCAGCAGCAGATGGCGCAGCAACAAATGGCTCAGCAGCAAATGATGCAACAGCAAATGGCCCAACAACAACAGATTGCGTACCAGCAGCAAGCTCATCAACAACAGAACTACCAACAAGGATATCAACAGCCAATGATTGGTGCTGGTAACATGCCCCCATACAGCCCCGTAGGTCAACCAGCTGGCCAATATACTCCCGGTGGATCTCCGTACGGAGCGGCTCCTCAACAGATGGGAGGCTATGGACAGCCGAACAGTTTCTCGCGACCACTCCGGGCTGCGCAGCAGGTTGACCCTCGCTTCGTGCCACCTCAGGGTCAATACGGCCCGTCGCCTGGAGGTCAACAGGCCACTCGAAACGTTCATCCTCAGTATCAAGGACAAGCGTTTTAGTAGCGAATAGTGAAGGGTCTAGTTATACCACTACTTAACTAAGATTATGGACATTGGATGATTGTAGCGATTTGGAGCAAACATGAAGGGGCCGCATACATCACATGGCGTTTAGGAAATGTAAAGACATGGTTATTTGGCGGCAGCGGGTTGAAAACCAATTGCATAGTTACACTCTTGGGCATACAAAGAGAGGGCTGCATCATCTTTGGGAAGGGTAGCATACTTGGTCATAGATGCATTTTGAATCTAACATACATTTCTTTTCTTCTAACTAAGCATTATGGTGTCTTGAATCGACATTTTGCGTACATGAGGTGCAAATAAGCTTCTATGACGGATGACACGTAAAATAAGGTACGAATAGCTAGGGGAAAAAAACTCAATTATGTTTTTTGTCTAATATCATGACGTAAATAGTAAAATTTGAGAAGAAAATCAGCTATTGGTTCATGATGCTGCGTGAACTAAGCTGAGACCTTTGGCAGGCGTTGCTGTCCAGTGACTTTGCTTGACCCGCTCGATTCTGAAGGCGAGTCTCGAGGGCAAAGCATTGTTGGTAGGCGCCTGACGAGCTGGAGTAGATTCTTGTACTTGTAGGCTGTGATTGTTAGAGAAGTGACAAAGCGCGTGACTTGAACGCGTCTCGAGTACAATTTTCACGCGCCCGTGTTACAAGAAAAGATACGTGATGTGACCTTGTTTTGTTGAATCAGATGAGCTCGAACTTTTTTTCTCCCTGGTTGCTGAGGCATCCGAGATGTACAGTACCTACCTTACCTAGGTATACCAAACGTTTCCACTCTGTCAGTGGAGGCAAGGGGTCGCCGATGGTGATCATGAACGGCACTCAAACGGCTTCTCCCCGCTGCGACTTTGCTCTCTTGGGGATTTATCAGCCTGGAAGCGGTCACTAAAGGGTGCCTAATTACCTGTTAGATTCCAATGTGATAGGTCAGCCAACTTCGTTAACCCAGATTCCGATTGATAACAGCCAACCAACGTCAGTAGCGACCTGACCCTCGAGGAAACGGTCGGTCGTGACGTCCCTCATCCCTCGTCCCTGCCCGTTCCATCCAATACTTGAACCTCAAAGTCCCTTGTCGTTTCTTTTTCCATCCCGTCCCCCTCTCTTGGATTCTTGATACTCTTCACTTGTTTTTCTGTGTCTCTTTTTTGTTTCCTTCCTTACCTTTCAACATACGCAATTTCCTTATAAAAGACTCGCACAACTATTGTCTCGACTCGACCGCATCGAGACATACAAACCTCGGGCTGGTTGTTACCCCAACTATACCTGCGCCTAGGACTTTCAAACCTCTGCCACATGCGACCGTGATCGCCTCGACTTTTTAGCACAACGTCACGATTTGCCTCAACTTGGCCCCATTGACTTTTCCCACGACAGTCTTGCATTGCTTCGCAGCGTAGGCTGCTCGGGTCCTTCCAATGGACGGCGACGAGCCCACGCAAGGTACGTCCCCCATCTATCCGATGCTCCCTCCTCTTTGAGCTGACCTCCCCCTGGAAGCGACACAGAATGTTCTCGATCCGCGCCGTGTCGGGAAGCAGAATTCAGGCTTTTCAGACGAAGATATCTCCGACATAATATGCGTCCTCTACCCACACTCTGATTCTGCCCGTGTCGAACTCGAACGTCTGGTCGGCGAAAACTCCCCACACATCATTGGAAAAGACGAAGCGGATGGCGTTGAACCCGACTATGCCTTAGAAGACCAAGCAGCCCGTTTTCTCGCCAATCCAACCGGCACCGGTACCCATGCCATCATTCTACGTCTATCGTCGCACCTCAAGAACCCGAAGGCCGGCTTTGTCTTTGGTCGAAATCCCGTCCGATGCGACGTTGTGTTTGTCAACGATCCTTTGAAAAGAATCAGTAACATTCACTTCCGGATTTACGTCAACGAATATGGCACTGTCATGGTTGAGGACCAATCGACCAACGGTACCATTGTTGATGACCATCTTTTAACTTCCCATCCTCAAGCCAAGGGAAGAAGTGACCCTCCAATTAGCAAGTGGGTTTTGAGTTCTGGCTCGATTATTAAGATCTATCTCCATAAGGAGGCCCGGGACTTGACTTTCCGAGTCCGTATACCACGGCGTGATAACGAGTATGACCAAGCATATACCGATAAAGTCGATGATTTTTTCGCACGTCACGGACTACCACGCCAAAATGAGACCATCACGCCTGGTCCAGGCGGTCACGTTGATCTCTTTAAACAACCTGCTCAGACACATTTTAAGAGAGAAGAGACCAATGAGATAACGCAGCGTACTCCTCAAACATTACCTAAAAGAAGAGACGCACCACGGGAATGGACGGGCTCCGGAAAATATAACAGAACCGGCTCGATCGGAAAGGGTGCCTTCGCAGTTGTCCACAGGGTCACCTCAAAGTATGACGGCTTGCCATATGCTGCTAAAGAGATCGAAAAGCGCCGTTTTATCAAGAACGGCGTCCTTGATCAGAAGGTCGAGAATGAGATGAAGATCATGCAGCGAGTTAAGCATGTGAGTTTTGCGTCATATTACCCGCTTTCGTCGCTAACATAACTCTGTAGCCCCATATTGTTCGCTACATGGAGCACTTTGAATGGGATGACCGATTGCTAATCATCATTATGGAATTTGTTCCTGGCGGTGACTTGGGAAAACTTATCTCAGACCAAAAGGCTCTGAGGGAGGATGTTGTTCGAACCATGTCAGGGCAGCTCTTGGGTGCCTTGGGATATCTACACGCCAATAACATCACTCATCGCGACGTCAAACCAGACAACATCCTCATCAACTCACTCAATCCAATTGATCTCAAGCTCACCGACTTTGGCTTGTCAAAAATGGTGGACAGCGAGCAGACTTTCTTGCGAACGTTTTGTGGCACCTTGCTTTATTGCGCCCCTGAGGTGTACACAGAATATGCCGAGTATGATGATGACGGCGTTCGTAGTCGAGGGAAGAAGATGAGACGTCCGCCGGGCCAAAGATACAACCACGCCGTTGACATCTGGTCTCTTGGCGGGGTCTTGTTTTATGCTCTGACTGCGTCACCTCCTTATCCTGTCAAGAGTGGCATCAGCTACTCTGAGCTGTTACACAAGATCATGACTACCCGGCTGAACATCGCACCACTGCAGAGGAATGATGTGTCAGAGCAAGCTATTGACTTCCTCTGCAGAATGCTCCAGCGCCGGCCAGAAAACCGAGCAACAGTGGCAGAACTCGAAAGCCACCCATGGTCTTCCAGCGACGACTCTATCGTCAACGCTTCACAATCCTTTGACGAGATTTCGGATGACGACATGTTTGACAACTTTTCCCAATTGCAACCTCGACATTACGAAGAAGATAGGGTCAGTGACTCTATGGGCGAAGAGTCAGAAAAAGAAACCCCGACGGTACCACTAGAAACGAACCAGCCCAGACTATTTGGAGAAGTTGGTGTCTCAGCGATTGGTAGCTCAGGAGTTATCCCGGAAGATTATCTCAACCTCGAGAATAGCAACCCTAGTGCAGACGAGACCGAAATCCTCCGCAAGGATGAAGACGAGGCATATCAATCGGACGAGTTGCTTACACCCAGGAACAGGAATCGTCGGACATACCGCCAGAACAACATTTCGATGGCACAGAATCAGTCTGAGGACCAACTTCAGAGTCTGGTAGAGGACGTGGCGTCGCAGAGCCTTGGCGGGAATGAGTCAAGCGTGCAACGCCCTGGACAATCGCGTTGCTCTCTGCAATCGGCAGACTTGAATACTAGTAAACGAAAACCCCCCTCATATGATACAAGCGACGAGTTCGAGAACACACCCCAAGGAAAACCTACAATGAAGAGACTTAAGTCAGAAGGCAACATTGAAGATCTGGCAAATGACGTATTTGAGGAGTACAAACTGCTGGTGCAAGTGCCATCTGCCGAGAAGCAAGCTTCAGGGCGCCAAATTGACAAACCTTACAACAAAACATGTTTCTGGGAGCAAGACAAGACAACGTGGCACTTCGACTATCCGGAACTCACTCATCTGCAACACAAAGCTTTCGAGCGGGGCGCGGCCGCAAGGAATGAAAAGTTCGAGCCCGGAAAAACGCCATTATGGGATCTTGCGATGAAGTATTTCTCTCCCGTCTCAAAAGCCGGGTCGCAAATCAACCAAACTCGACGAAGCTCGCGGACACCTCAGGACACGGCAGCTGATGAGCCCCTGGAATTTCCTCCGACTGCCGCTCCGCTTGAGAACTCTCAGATTCCCGATACTTTGCCTACACACACACAGATAATCGTCCCGGTCCAGGAAGACGAGCCCAATAGGCGTGCCATTGGCGTGCTTGAGTCTCATCACGATTCGTGCGTCCCTGGGATCAGCATTCCCATCAAAGATACCTTGGTCTCATTCGGCCGTGGCCCAGCAAATACTGAGGTGTTCAAAGACATACAAGAATCCCGAGTGCCGAAGTATGCCTTTAAACTGCTGCTTTGGAAAGAAGATGGCACCTTTGATCCTTCAAAGGATCCTGATAAAGTTCCTCCTCCTTGGCTTCGAGATGCCGGAGATCCGAACGAGTACGGGTTTTACATCTCGACCAAAGCATCCGTTGGTATCAGCATCAATGGTTACCAACTTGCTTCTTCTGATGCGAAGAACCACAGCGGCCCCTCACACCATTGGGCTCGAATTTGGAACGGTGACACAGTGATGATATGGGGCGACAGAAAGAGCACACAGACAAAACTCACATTTCAGTGTTTCTGGGGTGCCTCTTCCCAGGCGCGTGAGCAGAATCAAGGTTTGCAACTCGCATCTACGTCGCTCGCCCAGAAACTTGACGCTGCGTGTCAAAAGGCGGAGAAACGGATCAAGGAGGTCATTGAGAAGAAGAAGATCAAAGACGCAATCAATGCTGATCTACGGGAACGTATAGAAAACATTGAAAGAGAACAAGAACGAAGTCGTGCTTTCGAGAAGAAGCGAAAAGAGGCCATCGCTTATCTTGACTCTAGACAAACCCCTTTGTCGCGAATGGCTTCGCCCGCAAGCGCACCAGGAACAAGTAACTACCTTGAACCTCTAATGTTTCGTATGAGCTCCGATAACAATCTCTCGATCCAGTAATGAAACGCAACATATATACGATTTGCTAGAGGAGCATTTGCATGTGCTTAAGTCTCCGGTCCTTTCAACTGTTACCACGGACACGGAGTCATGATTTCTTTTCCATTTCCTTGGCATTTTTGGCGGGCATATGGGCAAGCGCGAGAATTGACTGGTGCTATAGGAAACTCCGGGGATGAAGAAGGTTACTCACAGCTAAATTCGCGATTCTTTCCTGGCGAAAAAAACGGCTTATCTGTATGGAGATAGACCCTGCTATCATGGCATCTTGGTGGAGTATATGTGGGAAAATGCAGAACATACTACATAGAAAATGATATATCATGTAATTTAAGATTTTGCGCATCCCTTCTATCATGCGACGACTGATATAACTTAATTGTGAGGATAATGATTGAGATCATACAAGTTCAATAAGATGATCGATATATCTATCACCGTTGAAGGACATGTGGGGCTGGTTCATATTACATGATTGAATCGTTCCGTTTCTAATAATACAATAGCAAGTTTTACCAAAAGAACGCTTGTCATACAATCATAATCCTCCTTCATACAAATTATAATCACCTCTCATAACCGAGTTCATCTCGACTCTTCATTATCCGGACCCAGCCATCCAGGGGTCGATGCGCATGCATCCAATGTTCATACATTTGTTCCCAAGAGTTACATTTCCACAGGTCTTCTCATTCAGGAGCTTAATCACTAGGCTCAAGTGAAAGTTTGATGATGCTTCGAGTAAGTATGCTGGTGATTATCGGGTTTTAGACAGCGATGCCGTCTACGAGAGGCCGAATGGGCAGTGTATCGTGAGAAGAATTGTTCCCAACAATTTCATTGAACTCGTTGGAGTCTTGACCAGAAGATTCTTCATCGTCTTCCTCGCCGACTGAAGAAGCAGCTTCGACAATAAGTTTGTACTCTACGAGACTCAAGCGTTAGTCGACAAAATTGACAGTATTTGTTTTGGTCAAGACTCACCGATATGGTCGGATGCACTCTCATGGGAATCATCAGCAGCGCTTGCCTCCTCAACTGTTGGGATAGGATCAAATGCATTCTTCCAGACAGATGTGTCCGACTGAGCAGGTGAGCATTGCTTGCGCTCATGCTCTTTCTTCGGTGAATTATCGGATCTGGTAGAAGAAGTGCAGTAGGCAAATTCTGGAAAGCTGCGCTGGCGAGGTGTGTAGTAAGGGTTGCCGCTGGCTTGACCCTCAGTCTTGTCAAAAGTTGAATCCCTATCGATGAAACTGCACGAGTCAGGATCCGTAAAGGAGGCAGTAAAAATGTTTGATGAGCACCGAGATTGCTGGGGACAGGGAGTTGTCTGGCTGTCAGTGAAACTGCGAGGGCCAAATCGTTCCTAATTGTCTCTGGCAGTCTCGTTAAAGTTGTGACTAGGGGCGTGTGAACTCGCTCGATCGCCTGGGGGAACGGAAGATGACTTGTCCTTGTTCTTCTTGAAGAAGGATGAGAACACGCTTCCCGAAGACATACGGGATGGAAGAGATGCAGTGGACTCCATATACTGATCATGATAGCTGTAGTCGCGAAACTTGGGGATCGGTGCCTGGAATCCTTCCTCTGTCTCATGGCGATCATGCAAGGGGCTGTCATCTGTATACTGCTCTATGTAAGAGTACGCAGGACTTCGGAAGGAATCCCAGTCTCCACCGTTGTCAAAATCTTTGCTGAAAGCACCCTGGGAGTAGCCCTTAGAAGGTGCTCCGGGTCGAAAGTCGTCTGGTGTACGCAAGTTCTCGCGATTGGGAACCGAACTATTCCTTGAAGACTGGCCATAGTGAGGATGGAGGTACTTGTCTGTGGCTTTTCTTTCAGGTGAATAGCTGTTGTAGTACGAGGGCTTCTTGCGGGAGATGAGAGGGGACCCTGAAGACCTCATGCGGGCGGGAGACCCAGGCTCCGAGAGCTCAGTATCCCCATCGTGGGTCAAGGGCGTACGAACATCGACAGACTTCTTGAATCTCACGGTCTTGCTACCAGAAGACTTGGAAGAGCTCGGGTCAGAGCGGTCAGAGTCAAGAGACTTCTCGCGCGGTCGATGTGGCTCCTTTGCTGTTGCATCCTGGGCATTTCCGGAGCCGTCTGAAGATGAGCGATCACTGGCCATCGCAGACTTGAGAACAAAGTCGCGTGGAAGAGTTTTCCATGGTTCGTAAACCTTGTTCGCGAACTTCTGACCAGTCTTTTCGCTTTCATGGCTACTAGTGTGAGTGTCCACCTTTGAGTGAGCCGTCGAAACCGAGTCTTCAACATATGGCGCCTGGTAATTTCGAGGAAGCTTTTCACTCTCATTCTGAGGATGAGGAGGAGGATCAGTATTGACATCTCCTGATGACTTCCGCTCTGCTCGGCGACCGGAAGATCCCGTGTCTCTCGATGGACAGTAAGACGACTCCGGGGAGACGACGGTAGTCTCTGGGGAAACAACACTGTCTCTGGGCTCTCGTGGTTCAGGACGCCTTCCGCGGACTTTTTCAACCGCCGGGGCCTGTTTCTCGTACTCGGAGGCCTCGTCCTGGCCAAGGGGGGCTTTTGATTTGCTTTTCTTACGATTGCGGTGGCGATTGACAGTAAGAGAATCCATGTCATCTTCTTTTTGAATCGCAGCTCGCCTGGCTATGTGATCCTTCAGTCTGGGGGCCTGTTATTACATATTAGCTCCCATCCGATGTTCACGATATTCTGTCAACATACCAGGCCAATCACAGAAGTGTCTGGCAGACTTCCATTGTAGTGGAACTCCAGGACGCAGGCATCGCAATAGTTCGTGAAGATGGGCTCTCCTGGAAAGACTGGGTTCTGTGCATGAAATGTCTTGGACCTTGCGCTTCCACAATTGAAACAGAAGTGGTATTGGCGTACGACACCTCGTTTGTGTTCCATCTCCCGGCAGCTCTCACAGAGATTAATCTTCGTGGATGGTCCTGAGCCAACAGGAAATTTCTTGTGGTAGAGCGCTGAACGCATGTTTCCACACTCCGTGCAAACGTGATGGCGTTCGATGCGCTGAGGACTCACAGCTCGTTGGCCACATTGCTCTCGCTTCCGACTCTGCTCAAAGTCCTTCGATTGTGCAGTCTTATGATCATGGACTGATTGAGAGAAGCCGCTGACAGTTGAGAGTGATACTTGTCTTGAGTGAGGCCTTTTGCTTTCTGTGATGGCCTTGTTCAAGGCAAAGTTAAGTCTGTCTTGAAGACGGCGGAGGTCGCGGCGTAAGATTCTGCTGTTGGGCTCCTCGGCCAAGTCGGCCATCTTGGCTTCTATATGTTTCTGTAGGCGTTGCACTTCATTTGTCAATGGGCCCGAAACCCCGGTGTCTTTCTGGTTGCCAGACTTGTTCTGGCGGGCATCCCCATCCCCTGCTGGATTTAGGGTGTTCTCGGATGCCACCGGAGGCATAGAGACTGGTGGTGCTTGGTCAGATGTAGGAGTTCGTGTTGCGACAGTTTGGGGAACAGGCGCAATATACTGAGCCGGATGAACTTGCACCAGGGGAGATGGTTGGTGCGGAACATAGTTGATCTGGGGTTGATAGTACACTGGTTGCTGAGGGAAAGGCTGGTAATCTGGGACCCTAAGAGGCTGGTTCAAAGAAGGGATAGGAAATGATGAAGATTGTACAATGTTACAAGATTGATTCGACAAAGGAATGGGAAACTGAGGGGGGAATGTTGCAGAAGGTCGTACATGAGAAACAGGCTGTTGTTGACTCTTCATGATCTCGGCGGTCGATCTTCGAGAACTCGAGCGAGATCCCTGACGGCGAGACGATTTTCGGGGACTTGAGCGAGGTGATGACTTTGTGCGATGTCGACGATGGTGTTTCTTTCTCTGAGGGGATCTTTTCGAAGGATGAGGAGACGAATGAGGAAGTGGATGAGGCGTAGAGACTCTTTCCGGTGTATCATAGCCATGTTGCTGACGCCCTCGGTCATCCTCAGAAGACGAAGAAAAGGCGTTCTCGGGGCCGACTTCGTTGCCATCACCACATTCAGAATTAGAGTCAGAGTCAGAGTCAGAGTCGGATGCATATTCGAGTCCTACACGACGAGCGCTGTTGTTTCCAGATCCATTGCCGCGTAGAAATGGAAGGCCGAAGGCAGCACTCAATAGGTCGACATCATAGTCAGGCCGATAACGGCGACGGCGAATAGCTTTGTGAAAGATATTCATTGCGCCTCAACCAGGAGAAGACTCCTGAGAGAAAAACGGCAGTGTCCTTGGTATTCGTATACAGTTGGTGCTGTGGTGGTATGGAGAGAGTGTTTGTGAGGGATAGATGAGAAGGAGAGTGGGCGAGTATGGTAGAAGAAGGGAAAAGACGTGAGAATGAGAGGAGGAAGATGGCTTGCTCAAATAGTAAACACAGAAATACCTCCGTTTGCTCGAGTTTTCTGATTTCTTTCGGAATTGTGGGCGCCTTTGGAAAAGTTGAATAAAGGTAGTTGTTGTGACGGCCGTTGGCAGCTGGCAAGAACTGTCACTCGTGTTTACAACTGGCAGGCTAGAGGCCACCAAAATGCCCGCAGATTCTAGACTGAATCTCTGATTGTGGCAGCCAAAACTCTTCTTTCTCAAGTGAGGTAATGAAAAAGAAGATCAGCTCGAGCGCCCCTGTCTGGTATTCGACTGACGAAGGAACTTGCTCCTAGATACTCGTTGCAAAGGGCTCTTCATCTGTTTTTGTTCAGAAATACTTGACTGGCTCTCGCAATCTCTGCTCAAGGCCTAAAGGTACAAGGGAGGTTGCTGTTGTATCTTCGAGGCAGTTCCTAAAATATCAAGACAGCAACTTAGGCACCAGAGAAATAACAGATATCTATCAAGGAGAAGAGGAAGGAGTAATGAGTATGAAGATAAGAAAAAAGACGAAAAGGGAGAAGGAGCAGAAATCCCCCTCTCTTGTACGCGACTTTCTGTTCGGGCATGCCGATAAAGTCACCAACTTCATTCTCAGCTTCAACAATCAATCTTGTCATTGTATTCAGGCGTTTTCAAGCTGGCAAACGACAGTGCTCTTCTTTCTCCTCCTTTCTTAGCTTCCTCAAGCAAACATGCCAAAGTCTCATGGCACTCTTTGTTATCTCTAATAGACCATCGGCATGGCATATGGCAGCAAACACACTTTAGCATCCATGAGTTGCTTCAACGCTGCTTGAGTGAGACAGAGAAATCTCTTTTCAAATCTTACACTGATATACATATTCAATTCAATTTTGTCTAAATGCGAGCTAAACCGGGACACTTTATCCTTGCCTCCTAGGCTCCAGCGGCAATAGCTCATTCTCCATCTAATCCACACGGAGAACACGGGCACCTCGCTTTTGAACCGCCTTCTTCTTCTTCTGCCCACGGTTAAAGGCACCCGCTTCAAAATGATCACGGCCAACATTGTCAAGATCCTTGACCTTGTAAATACGGATGAGCCAATTCTCACTGGTGAAGGCCTCCTCCAATACATCGAGTGTGGGGCTTGTGTCGGGCATTTTAACGCCACGAACTCGATCAACGATCTTTCCAGGAGAATTCGTCTTGTTGAAGTTGTGGTAAGACATCTTGTACCTGAAGGCAGCCTGTTAGCGTGGTGGTCATTCTCTGTGCATATGTATACTTACATCAAGCTGTTCTTCATGGTCTCGGTAGCGCCGGCATCAACTCTGTATTCGCCGCGTTCCGTGAAGAAGTTGCGCTCTTTAACCTCATCGGGCCAGATGCCCTCCGCAATGCGAACCATCCAGAGAAACTTGTTAATGTCATCTCCAGAGTATCCAAGAACGCCACCAAAGACAACGAGAACATAGTCAACCTCGTGCTGGCGCATGATGGGATAGCTGACCTCTTCACGAGAACTCATGGCCTTGCCAACAGTAGCGATGTGAGTGTTGTTCCAGGTGTTGTTGTCAACGAGGGTTGGGCGGTCGGCCATACCACCAATCTGATAACCATAGTCCCACCATGACATGATCTTGGCGTCTTTGCCGGTATTCTGTCGGAGCCATTGATAGGCCTCCCGATAGTCATCAATAATGACCGGGCTGCCATCCATACGTCGACTGGACAGGACAACAGAGGGCGCTGAGTAGGCGTTGGAGGTGACCCATGTGCAGTGAGTAACAAACATGACCAGGTAGATAACCATGCCAGCAACAACCGTAATCTTGGACAAGGTAGTGTAAATACCAACGTCGGGCTTTGCGGTCGCTCGGAGGGCACCCTTGGCTTTCTTGGATCCCTCAACAGCCTCTCCTTGTGCAGCCTGGTTGGGCTCAGGCTGATTGACCCTCAGATAGGTGTCGAGGAGCTGAGAGGCAGCCATAGCAGCAGCAACACACACAACAGGTGTTAGTGTGAGCATCAGACGAACCATAACGCCAGCAAAGTAGCTTGCAAACAGAGCATAGACAACAATGAAGACATGCTCATCCGCGAGGTTCTGGAAACACATATAGACACCGGCAGGGAAAAGCCAGATGAGGAAGTTAAGATCAAAGAAAAATGAGGGCCATGCGGTAGGCTGATGCTCCGAGACTGAAGCAATGATGGGAATGTGAATCTTGGCATAGCCGGTGTCAAACAATGAATAGAATCGACCGCCCCAGGGCGCGATGTATCCAAATGAGGTCAAGAGAATGAGGCCAGCGAGACCAACGAAGAAAGTCGCGACACCAGCAGCAACTACAATGGTTGTAATTTGTCGACCAGGGATAACAGACTTGACGTAAACAATGAATGCAATCACCTGAAGGAGGCCAAAAACACCTACACGGCAATGTTAGTATTATGTGTCACTTTGAATGTTTGTGTAAACGCACCAAGCGCGGGCATGTGCTCATTGGTCTTGACACAGAGGAAGCCGACAAAAGGCACCTGGAAACTAGCCATGGTGCCAATAGCGTACCACGTCGTGTAGCTGACATAGAGGCGATCGCTGTATCGACCCATGCAGATGAGAACGAAGGCATGGACGGGCAGTAGACATGTAATGAAAGCATATCCACCCCACGATGCAACCATATAGGCGTACGACAGCGCGCAAAGGGCGCCCCACAGCATCGAGCCCAACTTCAAAGCCTTGACCCAGAGGTAGAATGTGAGAACAAGAAGGAAAATGGCGATGGCCTCGTTATCGTAGCTACCGGCCACGGATCGAGAGATGTAACCTGGTGCAATACCCATGAAAACAGCAGCAAGAAGACCAGCGGATGAAGATGTAGTCATCTCATTGGTAAGGAGGTAGGCAGCATAGGCTGTCAGGCCAGAGAAGGCTGGGGCGAGAAGGACACAAATGTTTCGAATATCGACGGGGACCGTAAGGGCGCGGAGAGCGTGGTAGATGACGCCGCTTGTCACCATCAGACCAGGATAGAGGGTGCCTCCGGTAACCCGCCCAAGAGGATGCCATGTCCTGTCATCGAACCAGTCCCAAAATTTGTAGAATCCATTGGCGACGAGGTATTTTGTCGCGCGGAAGTTGAACCACGGGTCGACTATCATAAAGGTTAGCTCGCCATGATGGAGCGATTCGTTAGTATCTGCAAGACTGACATTCGTGAATAATACTTTCGAAGCCTGCGCCGGACGAGTTAGCAAAATCTATATTCCCAATGGAAGAGAGTCCTCGTTGCTCAGCAGACAGCAAAACCAGAGCAAGAATTGAGGCATTCACCCATCATGGGAAGAAAGCACTTACGTATCACAGAAAAAAGGCGACTGGACACAGCTGCGCCAGCGATCAAGAGAAGAATGATGACTCTTAGTAGAGTCCTAGTGTTTTGTCCGTTCACTCCGGCGAGGACGTCTTCGGTTTTTGCCGTCTTTACCGCCATGATGGGTTGCGATTGTCGACGATGTTTGACCCTGGATTTGATGCAACTTGTAGAAGCCGAAACCCAAGATGATATTCAACTCCACCAGAAGGACAGCTTGGAGCTTTACTACTGAGACGGGGAGCTACAGGAGGTAAATGTGGGACCCACCCACAAACCTTAGAGGCAAGGTACGTATCCTTTACGCGGCCGTGCATCCACTCAAAACTTAGCTCGTTCTTCAGATTATGGCCATGAAGGCCAGAGCCACAGTTTATCCGGCGAAGCTCTGGCGTATCAACTTGAAGACGATGATCAGGTCATTCTACGTCAATCTCAATAGGTTGACCGGGATAGCATGCAATATGGGTTTATAGCTTGCTAAATCACACCTGACTCTCACTTCATTGACCACAGGAATTGCTTCAAGCATTAGAATCGCTTATCGTCAACTTGCTTTTGCTGTAAAACTAAACATACATCCATACCTGATACACATCATCATAAGCCCGCATAGATACACTTAGCTTTCCCGCTCAAAGTCTCCCATCACATGCCCAAGTGATACAAGCCCTAGCCAAAACCATTGACGTTTTTTTTGTCGTCTAAAGTAGATATATTGTACACCTGTACATAGAGTTAAACAGGGACCTAAGGAAACATCTATGCAGGACCGCCATGTATATCCTCAATCATACACCGAGTCTGGTTCGAGGCTCGGATTATGCCTCGGCAGGACCTGTTTCCCTACGGTTGGTCAACCTTTTCGCCGAAACCTCCTATTGTTCCCATCCTGTCCCTTCTCATATCTTGCGTTGCGTTTCCCCGCGCCGGTATTACAAATTTAAGGGCTCTCCTTCTGCACCTTCAGCAGCAACTTCTCGAGATCAAACTTGGGGTCTGAGGGGTCGGTAATAACTGTATACACAATTAGTTGAGGGCTCTCCAGATTGTGTGTCTCGCATGTGCAATATGCCGCGGCCAATTGCGAGGAGTGGGTTTGGGGCGAAGCTGAGTTTGACGTACCAGAATCGCCAGATGTTGGGTTGTTCTTCTTAGCAAACTCGGCCTTGGCTTGCTGGATAAGCTTCTCCTTCTTCTCGTACTCGTGCTGCGCATGCTCGGCCTTTTGCGAGGCAGTAATCGCTCGCTGGTGGGTGAAACCGTAAAAGATACCCAGGCCAAGGGCGGACCACCGCAAAACCTATAAATGACTCAATTAGTCCTCAGGTCCATAAACAATCCAATTCTGCCGCTCGAAAGATCGCATTCTCTGACGTAGTCGAGTGCTCGGGGTTGGGATACGGTCGAGCGGCCGAATCGGGGAGGATAACACGCACGTTCACTCCGGTCGAAGCCATTGGGAAT